TTTGTTTTCAGTGATTGTGGCAGAAAGGTGAGCATCACAGAATTCCAGGTTATTAGAAAAAAGTGTTTTTGCATTGAGGGAGGACTAGAGTAAAAGTCCAATGCCCATCTGCTACTTTAATACTTAACCTATAAATATATGTGCATACACCTATATCCCTATCATTACATATCAATATATTTACATATATACATGCCTATATTTATACCTCTAGTCTTTTGTCTCCTAGTTAGGGCCTCTATTTCCTTTTACTTTCCTCCTTTTCCACTATAATGTTCGACCTTCATTCGGCTCTCTGTACTTCCTCTCAGCTACATTGTACTTGATCAAACCCCACCAGGTATTCTATGCCCTCCTTGCCATTGATTTTAGATCTCTTGTTGTTCCCTTGTCCCTGAGTTTGTTGGCTTCCTCTCCTTTACCCCCCACCTCCTCCTCTCCCCTGTCCACCCTGGAACCATCAGTCCTGTTTTTTTCTCTTTGTGATTGTTTATCCTGCCTATATTATGTAGATAATTATGAAAAGAAAGAAAGAAAGAAAAAAGAGAGAGAGAGAGCCCATGAATAGTTCCAGGTCTGTCTGCTGACCCTTATAAATGTTTTCCGATTGGGTCTGATGCAGTTCCAAGTCCTGGTCCCCTGAGTCCAAAGTCGATTTCAGAATTCCTCAAGGACTTTGTTGCTTTCTCTCCTTACTGCTCTGTTGTGTTCCCTTCATGTTACACCCTGATGTGGGGGGATCAGACAGAGCACAATTCCCACACTGTGTCTCTGGTGCTGTCCCATGTAGTGCTGTAGGTCAGTAAGGGGACATCCTGGCTTGTGGAGGGGCCGACCCTACAGTTCTCTTTGTGCATTGGCTGCCCCAAGGGGGAATGTGGTCCCCAAAGCTTGGTGGGTCAGGATGCTATTCACTCTCACTCTCCCTCTTAGTTTGCCCCAGTGTGATCTGGGAAGACCTGCCACTCTCCCCAGGCTGTATGTTCAGTGCTGTCCTCTGTAGTGTATTCTTCTGGGGAAGGGGGTCGAAGTAGCTGCTGGTTTCAAACTGCTAACCTTGCAGTTCGCAGTCCAACCTGTAACCACTACATCACCAGGACTGCTCTAGTTCATATATTCCAAGCAAAACGAGTTTCAGCATGTCCCTGTGATCAATGAATGGGTGTAGGTAAGTTCTCTCACCAACTCACTTGTCTTAGTCCCTCTCACTGTTGTTGGTGTTAGGTGCTAATTGAGTCAGCTTGAACCCATAGGGACCCTATGCATAACAGAGCCAAACACTGCCCTGTCCTGCACCACTCTCACAACTGTTCCTGTGCCTGAGCCCATGGATCCAGCCACTGTGTCCGTCCATTTCATTGAGGGCCTTCTTTTTCACTGCCCCTCCGCGTCACTGCTCTCCACGAAGTGGTCTCTCCTGACTTCTTCCTTTCTTCCACTTGCTTTAGCTAGGCTGTGATTAAGAGCAAGATTCACAGTCTCTGCTGGCATCCACTTTGCTCTGTTCTTTCTTTCCTGTCTTTTTAATGACCTTTTGCTTTCTTCACAAATGTTGGTCTTGGTGTCCTCCCAGAGTTCAGGTTTTCTGTCATTCGAGTTCAAGACATCGATCTGTTCTTGCGATGTTCTCGACATTCAGTTAGGATAGACTCAAGGTCATACTTTGGCTCCTGTGGGCTGGTTTTCATTTTCTTCAGCTTTATCCTAAACTTACATGTGAAAATTGATGGACTGTAATTTGATTTCTATGTATTCCCCATCTGGGAAATTCCATGTGTGTAGTCATTTTTTGTGTTGTTGCAAAAGGTATTTCCTGTGAACAAGTCATTGACCTAGCAAAATTGTATCATGAAATCTCCAGCTTCATTTCTATCACCAAGTCTGTATTTTCTTTCTTTTTTTT